AGCTCAGTGGTAGAGCACATGCTTAGCATACACGAGGTCCTGGGTTCAATCCCCAGTACCTCCCTAAAAAAAATAAATAAACAAATGAACCTAATTACCACCCACCCCCTGCCCTGGAAAAAAAACAATATATAGAAGGTGATAAGTGACAGAGCAGGGGCCCTCAAGGGTAGTCAGAGAGAGCCTTACTATGAGGTGACATTTGAGCAAAGACCTGAAGGAACTGTAGGGGGCAAGCCATGAGAATATGAGAGCATTCCAGGCAGAGCAAACAGCCAGTGCAAAGGCCCTGCGGAGGAAGCCTCAGGTTGTTTTTAAGGACAGCAAGGAGGCCATGTGGCCAGAGCAGTGATGACTGGGAGAGTGGGGAGCTAAGGGACCGGAGGTTATGGGGAAGGGGTGGAGCGAAAAGGCAGAAAATTGGAGGGGAGTGGATGATTCTGAGATTGAGATCAGAACCCTGAATTCATTACACAGAATGGATTCATCCTGGGCAGAGGTCCATAGCTCCTCCAACCTAACAGGAAAAGGGGGTGAGAGAAGCCCATGACCCCGTGGACCTCTCCTTTTGTAACATTTCCTACTTCCTGAGTCTTATTGGACCAGTTACCTGTTTACTTGCCAGTTTCCACACTGTGCGCTCCAAGGGGCGGGGTCTGGCATACAGCTGGCGTTTGCTAGCAGTGTAGGGAAGGGCCCAGCAGGGGCACTCAGGGACCTACTGTAAGCCAGATAGACCAAACTCCCCCCGCTGCCCTCCTGTCACTACCTTCCCATTTGGGAGGAGGCGATGGTGGTGGGGGGGGGCACTGGACGGAGCGGGACAGACAACAACCAACCAAAGGAAATAACACGTGCGCAAAGGCGTCCCCCTTCCATCAACCCCACTGCACAGACGAGGACAGAAAGCTGCCCCGGGGATGCCGGCTGCATCCCTGGACTCTCAGATTTGTGATTTCCAGAACTTCCTGTTCCACAGCCTGGCATCCTCCGGAGGGCTTCAGAGCCGGGGGTGTGGGGATGTCAGAGTAATTGCCGCTCGGTCCATCCACATGCGGTCATCCTAAGATGGCTGCGATTCTCGTCGTCGCCCGGGAGGGCCAGGCGAGCTCGGCGGAGTCACCGCTGTGTCCCCGGCAGAGTAGGTGGGGGTCAATGCTGGTGGAAGGAACAAGCTGACCAAGCCCCTGCTGGGTGCTCAGCAACGCTCTGGGCGTTTGGGCGCAGCCTTACTGAGTCCCAGGACACCCCCGGGAGCAGAGGTTATGGGGATTTAACCCTGCCCGCCCCCTCGCCCCCACCGCAGCCCCCAGCTTGGGTTTGAGAGATTTTCTAAGATACAAAGCTGTAGCCCCTCCCTCTGAATCACTGAAAATCCCCTTGGGCCCAGCCTGGGGACAAGGGAACAGGAAGGAGGTAGGAAAGGCCACTGCGGTGTTCTCAAGAGGTGGGACTTTCCCAGTTCCTCAGCATCCCCACCTGCCCTGCCCCTCAGAGCCCTCAGAATGCAGGGGGGCAGCCCTCCCTCCCAATACCCTCAGCAACCTTGCAGAGGTCAGGTCTGAGCTGCCCCCAGAGGATCACTCACAGCACCTCCCCACCCGCAAGTGCCCAGGAGTCCAGGATCCCAGCCCTGCTCTCCTGGAGATCTCAGGCCTCCCACCAGTCTGGCCTTTCCACCCAGGAAGGCAGCTTCCATCCTGGAACCCCCAAGTCCAAGCACCCCAGCCTCTAGGCCCAGTTTCCAGTCCCACTGGCCTCAGGGGTCTTGGGCATCCAATGTGTCTTTCAAGGACCCAAGTGACCAGAGCCCCGCCCACCCCAGGCTCCCACTTTCCAGGGCCCAGTTGAGTTTTCCCCACCTCCTGGGACCTAGCAGTCCCTGTCCCACCCCACAAGGAGGGGGTCTGATGTATTACAAGACACCCCCAATGTTTTCCTCCAAGGCATTTATTAACTCCTGAGTGTCATGGGGGCTGGGGCAGGCTGGAGCCCAAATCGAGTCCCTGGGGGCCCTCTGTGGGTCCCCATTACCGAGCTCCCCCCCGGGGGGCCTCCCCATCCCCATGCAGCCCTGGAGACAGAAGTCCAGTGTGTGATAGTCCACCTCCCTGCGAACCCCAGGAAAGTAAGTGGGAGGTAGCATTTGAATTCCAGTGTCCGGACAAACGAGTTCAACCGGTCTTGGAACCCTTGGCCTTGGTGGCAGGCTGTGTCTCTGTCTCTGTCTGCCTGTCTTGGGAATCACACATAAACTGCCCACCGGGAGATGAGGGAGCCGTCCAGCTGGGACTCCATGTCGTCCTCCAGTGCCGGGGGTGGAGGCAACATAAGGCCTTTCTCTGCCTTCTCCTCCTCGTCCTCCTCGTCCTCCTCTTCCTTGCCCTCTGGCCTCAGGGGACCAGGGGCCGTTGGCGTCCAGAAAACGGGGCCCCCATTCCCAAACACCTGAGTTTTCGGATCGTAGGATCCTCCTCTGCCGCCGTCGCCGCCTCCGCCAGGGCTCTTCCTCCTCCTTCTCACCCTCAGCAGGATGAATGCTAAGGACCCCCCAGCCAGAAGCAGCAGCACCAGCAGTGTCCCCCCCATAGCCCCCCACACCGCTGGACCCACGTCTCGGGGTGAGGCCCGGGGGGTGTCTGAGGAGAGAGAAGAAGGGGGTGAGAGGGAGAGAGAGAGAAGGAGACACAAGGTCAAGAGGATACATCTGGTGGGGGTGGGACACAGGGCACAGCAGGGCGTGACGGGAACTAGGGAGGTTGACTCTGGGCAGAAGAACAGAGGAGGTTGGGGTGGGGGGTGGGAGGATGTATTGTAGGGGAACAGAGCCAATATTTTGTAATAACTGTAAATGGAGTGTAACCTTTAAAAATTGCATAAAAATAGAAAAGTTTGAAAACTTAAGTAAAAGAGAAAAAACAGGATGGAGGAGGAGGTGCAGGAGAGAAGGGGGACCCATTCGCTCTTCGCTACAGGCTGGGTGCTTTGTACGTGGAGGGGTTGCCAACAGGTGGCCCCTAGATGGGTTTCCTTACACTCACGCAGTGTTTTTCAAAAATTAAACATGCCAGCCAACATTTAAAGCACCAGGCCATTTCACTGCAAATTCCAGATTTCTCTTAGAGGGAAGAAATCAGAACTGGCAACACTAAACTCTCACCTCCGCCTGGTGAAGGGCTGTGGCTGAGTGAGGTTGGTGACTCAGAAGCGAGCAGAGTTCCCCACCTGCCCCTCAGCCCATCATTTGCCAGGACCCCATAGGCATCCCATAGGCATCTGAGTTTGCAACCCTCTCCCAGAAGCTGAGGTCAGGGTCACGGAATCTTGGGGCCCTGATCTAGTCAGGAAGAGGCAGAGCTGGATGTAAGCTTGAGGCTGTTTCCAAAGCTCTTTGCATTTGAAGCGGGTAAGGGGCCTCCTGATAATTTCTTCCTTGGGAGCGGCTGGGGGCATGCATTCCCAGTGTGGAAAATGAGGCTCCCAGCGCCCACAGTCCTGGTTTCCTCTCCCTGCAGGGGCTGAGGTGGCGGGAGTGGACGGCTCTGGGGAACGTTGGGGGAGGTGGAAAAGGAAGCCAGGGAACACTAAGGAGGGAGGAGTGAGAATTGGGAGGAGGTCTGGACCCCAAGGCAGGGACAGATGATGCACCCTGCACCTTTTATCTTTTATCACACCCCCGCCCCACCCACCTGCACGCGGAGCCTGATTGGGAGAGGCCAGGGAGGATCTGCTTTGTGCCCTCCCACCCCTCCCCACGCCTCTGCACACAGGAGGGGCTAGGACCCGGGCTCCCAAGGGTATCTGTTTCCAGGGCTTTTCAAAAAGGGGGTCACGACCTAGGGGACTGTCCGATCAGTTGGGTGACTCACAAGCAGCAGTAAAACAAAGAAGAACAGAGAAAGTTTACCTAAGGTATGAATGGTATGTACTATTTTGTGAAACTTTTAGTGGGGGAATATATTTCTATACTTGTCCCCGGGGCGGGAGGCGTGAAGGGCTTCTTTCTGTGAGTGCTCGTCAGGAACGTCTGGAGACCAGTCTTTGCGCATGTTGGAACGTGCGTCTGCGTTTCTGGAGGTGGTATTTTGGAGATGGTGGATGTCTGTGTTCCTGTCTGTGGGCAGAACTTCTCCGAAGCCTCCCTGAATCAACGTCCAGCCTGGTGTGCACCCTGCGTACTTAGCCTGGGATGTGCACTGTGTCCGCAGGTATGAACCCCAATCCGTGAGTGACTGCATGTGCGGGTTTGCGCGCACATGGGAACATGAGGTGTCTCCAAGACCCTCTGCGGGGACTCAGCCAAGAGCTGGGAGTAAGTCTCCTCTCTGGGCAAAGCCCTCTGTTGACCCATTCACCACCATCTGTGACTGCATTTCTACGGTGTTCAGAGTGCATCCCCATGTCTGTTGGTGTTCATCTGTAGGTGTGCGTCTTTGTGATGATATTTTTGACCATATGCGGGTCTGCAGTTACCTTTGGGGGAGTCGGGGGGGTCTTTCCAGTGCGCTGAGTCTTTCTCTGGGGGTGTGATTCTGTGTGTGCGGCCCCCCACGCCCCAGGCTCCTGACAGGACTCTGAGAACGTGTGTTTCACTGGGTGAATGTTGCCGAAGGGCTAAACTCTGAAGCTGGTGTTTTCTCTTTGGGGGTTACCAGCAGTGGACATCTCTGGGGTTTCTGGGTGTTTTGGGGGAGTGTCTGTGTTTCCGTGGTTGTATATTCCTCCAATGGCCCTTAAGTGTGACCGTGCCTGTGCTCTGCAGGCTCCACCCCATGGAGGTGCCGACTGAACGAGTGTGGGTGGGAAGACCAGTTTCTCAGGTGTATATTTGGGGTCCAGGGGTGTATTTCCGGTTGGGCACCTTGTTGGGTCGATGGGGTGACCCTTCTCTGGATGTGCCTTTGAGGCGGGGACGGCAACTCCATCAGCATTGTATCCCCAACATCAAGGAGAGTGCCTGGCAAAGAGGAAGCCTCAACACATATTTGTCAGATGATGATTTGTTGAAAGAGTATCATTATAATGGGGTTTCTGGAGTTTCTGACGGTGGGCCCCTGACAACGTCTCTGAGTTGCTTTCTCGGCACCTGTGCGTGAGTGATGGCGTTGCGGCATGTGGAACAGCTGCTCCGAGGTTCTTTTTGCTTCCGGCCTGTCTGTCTCCCTCCCTCCAGGTGTGCGTGTTTGCACACCCGAGTGTCAAATGTGCTGAGGGTGTGCCACAGTCTCTCTGGGTGTGTGGTTTGTGGGTTTCTGGGTAGCTACGTTGTATCTCCCTGGCGAGAGTCTCAGTTCCTGAAGAGGAATCGTTTTCCTTTGGGTCTTTCGAGGGGGGCGTGTGTGTGTGTGTGTGTGTGACGGTCATCTCAGTAAGGTGGTCTCCCTCCCTCTGTCTCTAGATGTGGGTGTGTCTGTCTTCACACCTATGCCTGTGAATTTGCCTTTGATTGGGTTTCTTTTCTATTTTTTTGAGGGGGAAGGTTGGGAGGAAGACCATTTGGCTTATTTATTTACCTTGTCTTACATGGAGGTACCCGTGGACTGAAACCTGCTGAGCTTACCCTCTGCCGCTGAGCTAGCCCCACCCCCTGCCCCAGTTGGGTTTCTCAGGGCAGGCTCTCCTCCCACCCACTGAGGCCCCGGGACAGTCCCTGCGTCCCTCCGAGCATCTGGGCCTACAGGGATGATTCCAGCCCCATTTCCATCAGCCTGAGCTTAGTTTGGCTTCATGCTTTTCCTCTCCGGCTACGTGTCTTGGGTCCCATCTGTGTTTCTGAGTTCACAGCAGGGAGACTCTGAGAACTTCTGTCCCATGGACACATCAGCCACCATTTCCGAAATCCCACCTCCAGAAACACAAACATCCCAACACACACGCTCAAACTAGTCTCCAGGTGGTCCTGACCAGCACTGGCGGTAAGAAGCCCATTGTTTCTGAGTGTTTGTTTCTGTCTAGCTCCCCTCACGAGCCTCTGTGACGTTAGTTGTGTGATCTTTGGGTGTGTCTCACTGGCCGCAGGCCGGGCCAATGTCCCTGGGTCTCTCTTCCTGAAGACCTTTCCCAGGCCTCGACTTTTAGGAAGCCCCCAGCCCAGGCCTCCACCTCCTACTTCCTCTGTCAACACCTACCCTGTCACCCCAATCCAGACCCCACCTGGGGGTAAGAAATGAAAGCCACTTTGCCCTCCTCTCCCATCAGCGAGGCGGGTCTGAATCCTCTCGAGGTCGGCGGTGCAGTCTCCCACAGTGCAGCCCCAGAACCCAGAAAGGAGGAACACTTGGGGAACAGACCCAGGGCCACACACACCACCCCCAAGACCTGCTTACCTCGAACGAGAACCATCTGCTCAGCATGGCCTGTGCCCACGGCGTTGGTGACCGTGCAGATGAACGTGGTATTGAACAGCCTGTCCACCGAGTGGACGATCAGCTTAGGGCCCTGGGCTACTGCTGAGGCTGGGAAGACGCCTGAAGTCCTGGAGGGTGTGGGGCTCATGTGAGAGGGGAGCACAGGTCTGGTCCCTGATGCCCTCAGAAACCAAGCTCTGTGGACCTGAAACTTACTCCTTGACACCCCAAACTGCCAGCTCCTTCCTTCTGGAGGACTCACAGTTTCCGGCCTCTGATGTTCCTCTTTCATGCCTCTTTCATGACACAGGAGTCCAGGCTCCCAGCCCCTCCTCCCTCAGACCCAAGAGTCTGGGTCCACACAGGACTCACGTGCTCCAGTCGTAGCCTGTGGGCTCCGGTTTGCTGCGGACGTCACAGTTTAGGGTGGCCTCACTGCGGCCGATGTACCAGTTGTCATCATAGCCGGAGATGGAGACTTCGGGGGGGTCTGGAAGAAATGGGGGGACTGGTTCAGAGACAGAGAGAATCCTAAGGCGGGTGACAGGTGAGCAGGTCGATGGGAATCCCAAAGAAATAGGGGTGGGGTTGGCAGGAGGCGGACCCAAGGAAAGTGCCTGGGGCACATCAGTCTGGGCAGCCCAGATGTTGTTCTGGGGTCATTTTGGGGAAGTTGTTATACAGTGCAGGCAGCGCCCCAGGGAGCCACTATAGATAATGTGTGTCATTCCTGACATGCCCAGAGTAGATAAGGGAATTAGCTTCACTGAAGGCATTGTCTGGGGAGCTAGTATAGAAAATGCTGAGTTGGGGTATGGGGTGTGTTTGGACAGTGGCTGGAAAAGCTGCTAAAGTTACTGTTTGGCAGGGTTTGTGGGAAGAATGCCAGGGGAGCCTCTCTAATATTAGGGGGTGCTGGTGTAGGCAGTTCGGGGAAGAGCTAGCATGAAACTTATTGAAAGGGGTCAGTATAGACTAGGTCCAGAGGGGCTAATGTGATCATACTAGGGGGCAGAAGTTGGTGTAGAGACCTCAGGAGAGTCAGTATAGACAGTGCCCAGGCAGCCAATTTAGATAGTATGAGTTGGGGTGGAAACGGTGTGGGTGACAATATTGCGGTGGGCAGTGTAGTTGATAGAGACAGTAAGGGAGCAATGTCACCTGGGGTCTATGGGAGCCGGAAAAGATATTGTTGGGGGCAGTTGTGTGTTGGTAAACTGGCCCTCTCAAAAGGGAAAAAAAGGAAAGAATAGCCTTGATTTGCAATGTTTGCCAATTTCCTTGGTATAAACACGCCCCGTGGTTGTTGTGGTTGATTCAAAATATCAGTAAGACTTCTCTGGATGCAGAATTGGGATAAGAGGTATAAAACCAGCCCCTGCAAACCCATTCTGATTTACCATCGTGGTAGCAAGATGAGAGCCTAGTGAAGCCGGTGTAGACAATGAGGGGACAGTGCGTCGATGTTGTCCAGGGGAGCCGGTATAGACAATGGGCAGGAAAGCAGTGCAGAATTTGACCCAGAGGACCAATGTAGACAACACTTAGCGATAGTGTAGACAGTGCCCTAGAGAAGCCAGTGTAGACAGTATTGGGGGTGTGGTCACATCTTAATGCACTCACAGCGCACAGAGAGGATCACAGGCTTCAGGTCAGGCTCCTCAAAGCTCTCGTGTTCCACTTTGCAAGTTATCTCGACCCCATCTGCTCGGCCCAAGGGTACCAAGATAAAGCGGCTGGTGACGGTGACTGTGCCAGGCAGGGGCCCTGACGTCTGGGTCTCTTTGGTCTCCCCATCCAAGGATGACAGCCAGGAGACTCGGGCGGGTGGCCGGCCACCCGAGGAGACACAGCGGGCCACGGGTACAGGCTCCAGGCTCAGTGTGACCTCCTGTGCTTTGGCATCATTCTGGGGCTTGGCTGGGGAGAGGAATAGAGGGTGAGTCACTGCTCACCTACAGTAATTCAACAAACACCTCTGCAGTAGAGCTGAGCAGTTAAGCCCCAACTGCCTGGGTTCAAATCCCAGCTTTGCTGCTTTGCAGCTGGATGGCTTTGGGTAAGTCATTTCCCATCTCTGTACCAGTTTCCTCTTTTGTGAAGTGGAGATAATAAAAGTACCCACCACCACATAGAATTGTTGTGTTGATTGAATAAATTGATACATCAAACACTTTGGACAGTGCCTGACACGCACTGTGCTACTTAAATGTTAGCCATTATGTTATATTTTCTGTTCTGCTTTGCTAGAAAAGCAGAGACACTGTCCACAAGTCTGGAAGAGGCCAATATTTAAAAAGAAAAGCTGGGGTAGGAGACATAGTTCAGTGGTAGAACACATGCTTAGCATTCACAGGGTCCTGGGTTTAATCCCCAGACCTTCCATTAGAAAAAATAAAATGAAAAACAAAAAGAAAAGCTAAAGTAGAATAATCTGGTTCAAAGGTCCAGCTGCAAAGGCCTCCGACTTCTTTTCCTGTAATCACCACTAGATTGTGGTGCCAGAAGTGGGATCAAGGCAATGGAGATTCCCAAAGCTGTACATCCTTTGCCCTTTCCACCCATCGTCCTGGAAAATATGGAAGAATATTAGGCGGGGTGAACCCCCATGAGGAATAATAATGGCAACCCACAGTTATTGCTGTGGGCTGACAGTTCCCTGAGTTCTAGTCACCTTCTGGATCTCACCACCTAGGTACCTCAATTCAGTATGGCCCTCCTCTCCTTTCCCTCTTCTCTCCCAACCACCAGAGTCTCTGATGGACCTCCCAACATCCTTCCCGGTCACCCTCCTATCTGTCCTCTGACAGCTCCAGGCACGCCCACCCCACCCCTGCTCCTGCCCACTGCAGGGTCTTAGCGACTTGCATTGCCCCACTACTGGAGTGCTCTAGCCTCCCTTCTCCTTGTCTTGCTCCTCCTTCTCCAGATCCAGCTTCACTTCATCAAGGGAACTTCCCTCATGGCTGTCTCTCCAAGAAAGCAGAGGCTTCACTGTTCTGTTCTGTATTTTCGTAGGTGCCTGGTGCAGGATAGGTGCTCTATGTATGTCTTGAACAGAACAAATGATTGCAGAAGAAGAGAGACCTTGGCAAGGGGTGGATGGGAGAAGAGCTGTGCTTTATGCAAAACAGTTGGTTTCAGGGCTCCCAGGGAAGGGAAGTGTGGACCCAGGGACAGTACAGGGGACACTTCTCAAACTTTCTGGGGCTGACTGGAAGGAAAGAAAGTGTCCAGAGTGGTGTGGCTTCTGTGGAGTTGCCAAGGGGGAAGGCGGAATCCCAGGGGAATGCCAAGATTTGGCAAGAAATAGTGACCTTCAAAAAGATGCCTTCCTTCCTTCCTTAAGTCTTCCCCATTTTGCTAAATGGTTGTGTGGGTCACCTTTCTGCTGCTGCCAGGAGGCTGGGAGTCCTCCCTGATCCTCCTCCTCCCTTAATTCATGGACAAGTGCCTACCGTCTCCTGAAAGTGTGATTATTCCACTTCACTCCCCTTCCCTCCCTCCTTCCCTGCTTCTTCCCTCTTCCAGCCAATGCCTTCTCTCACCTGGCCTCCCTGCTTCTGTCTACCTTTGTCTACCCCTCGCATGGCACCCCACACAGCAGCCAGTCTTTTTTTTTTTAAACAATTTCAACAGTCTGATAAGGGTGCTCTTAGGGTTTGAAACCCTCTGATGGCTCCGAATAGTATTTTAGTTGAAGTCCAGCCATTGGGCCTCCATCTCTGAGGCCCAAGCAGTCTGGCCCTGTT